CACTGTACAGCAAACTATACAACAATATATATATATGCGCGCATTAGGAGAGTGCACAGCATTAGCTCCGGATAGTACCGGGGGCAAGGGTTTTTTATGCACATTCCAAAGTCTTCTGTCAGGTTATCCCGGTGTGCACACCTGAATAGTAGTTGGTAGCTTGGGCGTTGTATTGCAAGACATGGGTAGATTCCTTTTTTAATCTATCCCATCCATTGAGTAGTAACAAGCTCCTTCATCCAGGCTATAGAAGTTGCCAGATGCTACTTAAGTCAATCACCCTTGGGTGAAATCCTAGAATATTTTAGCCTGTTCAGGGCCTTATGAAGACTGCAAAGCAGCATAACGCCAATGCCTGGTGACTTAGGCTATCCATCGACCTTTCATCCTCAGCAGATTTTCAGCAGAAAAAACTTGCCCGTTCTTTACAGCCGTTTCCGGCTGTTTCACATACAACCGATCAGCGGCTCTATAGCCTGCCGATCGGTTGTGTGTTGCGATTTGACCACCCCCCCCTCCGACCCGTCGAGTGCCGCAGCCTACGCCTGGTGTGCCCCCCTCCTGACCCCTGAGGGAGTTCACCATCTTCCTCCTTGCTGATCTCCCTCCGTGCTGTGAATGCTTAAGTGATGTGTAATACATCACTTCCGCATTCACCTGTCAGTCATCCGACTGCTATAGCCAGAGAAAAGAAGCTGATGAAGCAGATCTGTGCTTAAAGGAGAACTATGGGGTTAAGGCTTTTCTCCATAGTTCTCCTTATGGTAACGGGAGGACACAAACTAGCGTCCTCCCGTCACCCTAGGCTCAGTATAACGCAAGCTACAGCTCGCGGTATACTGAGACGCCACAGCTGAAGCAGATCCCGACAATTATATCTGGATCCGCCCAGCTGCGTGAGTGAGAGCTGGCTCTGCCTATCTAGAGGCAGAGCCAGCTGTACCCGCCCCCTCCCCGTCCGTTCCGCCAGTCAGCGCTGGAGGATCAGGGCGGGGAGGGGGGAATCAGAGAGCCGTGACAGGATCGAGAAGTGAGCGAACAACGGCATGTGTTCGCTCACCTCCCGATCTACTAAGCCGACCTGTGACAGTCTCATTGTCACAGGTCGGCTAGAACTATGAGGTGAGTGAAAAGCACTCACCTCATAGTTCTCCTTTGAAGGGATGCAGATACTGCAACTTGGCAGTAGGGGGAACCCACTCTAGGGGGAATCCAGCCCCTACCCTGTCACGGCAGAGAGCAGTGACAGGATCGAGAAGTGAGAGAACGCTGGTATGTGTTCGCTCACTTCCCGATCTACTGAGCCGACCTGTGACAGTCTCATTGTCACAGGTCGGCTAGAACTAGGAGGTGAGTGAAAAGCACTCGCCTCATAGTTCTCCTTTAATCAGCTTCTTTTGGTGTCCCCAGGTGACATAAGGGGTCCTAGAAACCCCTAATGTCTCCATAAAGAGGACCAGCCAGTGTGCCTTTGCTAGTATATAGGGGGATTGTTATCCCTCTATGTGATAGCAATAACAATAAGTGTAAAAAATATATAAAAAAAAGTAAAAATAAAATCCCCACCCCCCACGTTTACGCATATATAAACGTAAATATGCGCCAGATGCACCAGCGGCCGAAAACGACAATTGCGCTACTAACGTTGCATATCGCCGTGAATGTCGGAGTGAGGGCAATAATTTTAGGGCCATCAATCACTGCTAACACTAAACTGATGAGCGGTAAAAGCTTTTAAAGCGTCACCTATGGCCCATTTTGGGTAATGTCGTTTTTTGAGGTTTCGCGCTCGTGCGCAATTTTAAGGCTTGACATGTTTGTCTTTTTACCCGACGTGACCCTGCCTTTTATATTTTACCAACAAATTGGGTAATAATGTTTTAGAATTTAATATAGGGGAAACAGTTTTTTTAAAATTTTCTGTCATTTTTCCTTAATGTAGTAAAAAATAAAACCCCCAGTGGTGATTAAATACCACCAAAAGAAAGCTTTATCTGTCCCCAAAAAATGGTATAAAATTCATTTCAGTACAGCATTGCATGACGGAATAAATGTCAGTCAAAGTACCGCAGCGCTGAATACTGAAAAATGGCCTGGATAGCAAGGGGGTTTAACACCGCGGACTTCAAGTGGTTAAAAGCAACTAAAGTACTGACTCCCATAACCTTGAAATAATGTTTCAAGAGCATCATTTATCTAGGGTTGCAGCTAACAATTATTTTCCAAATGTATTAGACGATTATTAAGTTCGACTAATCGGATAAAAAAAAAAGCTCCAGTGATGGACTACTAGTTTGTATTGAGATTGTAGTCGCTCACGGGAGCAAGCGTGGAGCGGTGGAAGTACAAAAAAAAAGTGGTGTGCAATATATTACATTATACAGCGGCGCAATGCAGAATACCAGCAGCTATAGAGGAATACTACAAATCTCAGCAATAGTACATTTTACTATAAAATACTATTGCTGGGATTTGTAGTCCTCTGTAGCTGGTGTTATTCTGACTTGCGCTATATATCATGTATTGTTAGGATCCGATGTATTCCTCTATAGCTGGTGTTATTCTCCTATCCGCCGTATAATTTATTATTGCTGGGATTTGTAATCCTCTATAGCTGGTGGTGTTCTGCAGTGCGCTGTAAAATGATTATACGGCGCAATGCAGAATACCAGCAGCTATAGAGGAATACAAGAAATTGCAGCAATAGTACATTATACAGCGTCACAATGCAGAATACCACCAGCTATAGAGGAACAACAAATCCCAGCAAAAATACTTTATACAGGCTGTTTAATGTATTATTGCTGGGACTTGTTGTTCCTCTATAGCTGCTGGTGTTCTGCAGTGTGCCGCTGTATAATACTTTACTTCCAATTGAGTCAACGACATGCAGGATAGGAGTTCATACCAATTATTCCAAGTTAGTAACTCACTAGACAATGAATAGATACCGGAGCACTCTTGTATGTTGCTGTAACGTGCAAAAAATGAACATGTTTAGAGAAATATATTTACAGAATAAAATGCAACCTAGCAATAGCACACTGCAGTGCAGGGATATGAGTGTCCTGGATGTTATGACGCACTGCGTTGTCCGGTTATTTTTTGTGCGTTGGGCTGCCCCAATCCAACATCAGTAAGAAAGGCCCCAGAATGAGAACCTATTTGACATTGCTTTGTATCCCCTAGTCAATGCATCAATCCCATGTGTGTTGTTTTTATAATGTTCCTACAAAACATGTGTCTGTGATTTATTTTTTTCATGTTTAATACTCTAATTATCATGAATCAAAGTATTAAAGTGGAACGATAGTTTGCAAAAAAAAACTGGCAGGTAAGCAATTTTTGCAGAAGAAACTCTCTCTGTCTCTTCCACAATAAAAGCGTCTTACCTTATCTATAAGTACACCGAGAGGCTAATGCGCCGCTCAGCATGCAATATCGACATGGTATGGTATCGGCCAATAAAGACGGCCTAGATGCCAGACGCAGAAGAGAACCAGGCACCCGGATGGAGCTGCCAGCAAGGGAGCCCACATAGCTGAAATGGAGACCAACATAGAGTTTAGTTCTGCTAGAAGCTTTTTTTTCTATTAGGCAAATCCTCGGCTTTGTGAAATCAGGAACGCAACAACATATTAGCACTTATGTGAATGACTTTATAATGTGATAACATTATGATAATAATGACTTAAAATACTTTGCTATGCACATTCCCCTTATCCATGTGCAACAACACTCAGACCTGCTGACACGGTGATCAGGCATCATACTAACTAGGAATTTCTCAGGTAGTCTAATGACATTGAATTTTTTTTAGCAATATACATACAGGAACGTTATTGCTGATGTTTTTATTATTGGTGTAAGCTCCAGGAGGTATCCCAGTCCTGCTTTGCTTCCAATTGAGTCAATGGCATGCAGGATAGGAGTTCATACCAATTATTCCAAGTTAGTAACTCGCTAGACAAATGGCTAATCAGGATTTATTTCTGGCCAAATCTAGCAACAATCTTATCTCTTTCCCTGACCCACCTAGCACTCTTCCCCTCGGCCCTCAGGCCGCATAGCATTGTTTTAATATCATGACTTTTGAATTGTGGCGGGATTGTCGGCGGGCTGCGGCGAGTCAGGAAGCTCACAGGGAGGAGAGTAGCAGAGGCATGTCGCGTGCACGGCTTGTGCGGTTGGCGTGGCGTGTGAGGAGCCGCGAACAGGCTATCTAATTGATAGCCGACTAATCGATAATGGAAAAGGTTGACAACTTTTTCCATCGTCTATTTTTAATCGACTAAATCGAATAGTTGTTGCAGCTCTACATTTATCTTCTGCATTCCCAGCACTGCAACTTTAAATCTTTAAATGTATTAGAAGCTTTTGAAAATATATTAAAGGATATCTATACATTGAACTGAAATCTCAAACCATCTTTTCAGCCTTACCAGCCATCTGGTATTAGACCCCTAATGTCTCTATTAGACCCATAATGTCACCTTTCCATTTCAATAGCTTTAGCTGTGGAATGATAGCTGCCTGTTTAGGTAGCTGAATGTAAATGTAGCAGGCTGGCTATTGCACCCGCCCAGTGCCTGCTGTCAATCAGCAGAGGAGGGAACTCCAGTAAAAAAAATTATGTTTCAGGTCCTCTTCTGCTGATTGAGAGCGGGCAGTGGGTGGGTGCAATAGCCTGCTATTGGGATTCCCGCTGCCTCTGCTGATACTGGTAGTGAGAGCAGTGGGGATTGAAGGGGACACAGACCGAATCATGCAGCGTGCTCCCAGCGGGGCAGAGCTGATGCGGTGGCAGGGGACAGTGAACGGGCTGACAAAAGCCAGGTACCAGGACGCAATTTCTTGTCGCCATAATGATCTGAAGCCTGGGATTTGTGAAGGCCTGATTTATGGTAATCTTTGGAAATGTGCCTGATAATGGTTTTATTCCTTTTGAATATAACCTTTTAAGCGTGATTTTTTTTATTTTTATTTTTATATACCTACAGGGGAAGTAATGAGAAGTTCTTCTGGAGAATTTGCTGATGATCCATGCTCCTCGGTCAAGCGTGGCAATATGGTGCGAGCAGCACGTGCCTTGTTGTCGGCTGTTACAAGGTTACTTATTCTGGCTGATATGGCAGATGTATACAAGCTGCTTGTTCAACTGAAAGTGGTAATGTATTTTTATATTTTATATATGTGCTCTTAGTGCAACAAAAAGTTGAATACAAAGAAAAATACATTAAAGTTAGGGGGTACCCAAAAAGTTATACAAAAAAATACCTCGTACCCACTTTATCTGACTACAGAAAAACTGAAAACCTGATGTTTGTTGTTCCTAAAAAGTCACATGAGTGTTTCTGAAAGAGATACCTTTTCCATGATTTGCCATTCCTTTGTCAGCAACAATGTTTAGGCATATGGTATTTCTCAAAGTAGCATCCACATGAATGGCAGGACCCAAGGTTTCCCAGCAGAACATTGCGCAAAGCACCACACTGCCTCCGTCAGATTGCCTCTTCCCACAGTGCATCCTGGTGCCATCTCTTCCCCAGGTAAGTGACAAGCATGCACTAGGCTAGTGGTGGTGAACCTATGGCACGCGGGGCCCTCTCTGCTGGCACGGGAGCCCAGGTTCAGGAACCCCCAATGCAAATAGATCCGACCGTCCCGGATTTGCCTCGGTACGCGTTCCGGGTTGGTCGCAATCAGGCAGCGGCCTCTAAACAGGCGCATTAGGCGGCTGCTTCCTCCTCGCTAGGACCCCGAGAGGCCCCTGCGATTGGCCGTCTAATGTGCCTGTTTAGAGGTCGCTGCCGGTGCCTGATTGTGACCTGCACGGATCGCGTACTGACTACAGAGGCAATCTGGGATGTTCGGATCCACTGTGAGAGCCGCACAGCCTTCCCCCCTCCCCCCCTGAGAGCCAAACAACCCCCCTGGAGCCGCACAGCC